TGGAGGGTGGCCCAGTGCTGGAGTCCCCCAGAGAGAAAGGGCAGAGGGTGGAGGCTTGGGCTGGGAGGGGTTGGGGGAGGGGCGGATACGGAGGGTTCCTCCCGAACCTCAGATCTGTACCCAGGAGCCTGTATCTGGACTCAGAACCCCGGAACCAAGACTCTGAAGCCCGGGTCAAGAACTTCAGGCCCCCAAACACCAGACCCAAGCCAAAGACCTCAGCCAGATTCTAGATCTGTGGGAGCCTGGTTCTGAACTCTGCACCTTGGGCCCCGGATGGCACACCCTGGATTCTATGCCAGAACCCAACCCAAGAGGCCAGGTCCTAGATCCTGGACCTGATACAGCCCCCAACTGTGAACCCAGAACGCAAACTCTGAACCCTGGGTCCCAAATCCCAGGCAATAGATTCCAGATATGAGATGCCATTTCTCAGACCTCAGATCTGGACCCCTAACCCTAGATCCCGCACCTCAGACCCCAGATGCTAGAAACCAGCCCCCAGTCTGGGAGCTCAGATCCTAGAACTCAGACCCCAGGGCTGGACTCTGAACCCTAGTCCCCAGATCTTATACCTCAGACCTGAGACCCCACACTCTAAACTCCAGTCCTTAGACCCCAAATCCCGAATTCCAGAAGCCAGACCTTAAACCCTGGACCTCAGCCTCCAGAGCCTAGACTCCAGACTTGAATCCTAGCCCCTGAACCAGGTGCTCTGCCTACCCAGTGGAGGGGTACACTGAGGGCCAGGAGGTTGTTGATGGATGGGGGAGGGGTTTGTCAAATCTCAACAGACATACCAGGGCCATGTCTGGACCAAAATGAATGTCAGAAGAGACTACAAAGTTGCCCTTGAGTAGAGAGAAGCTACAGCAAGTGGAAGAGATAAAGTAAAAGCCGAGAAGAAGCTTTCAAAGGGCCGCTCGCTGCAGGAGACAAAGAAATGAAATGTGCATAGAACAAAACATTAAAGCCTTGAATTAGGGGATGAAGGATTCTACCGGCAAAAGGAGCTCTGGTACTGCAGTGCCTAAGGCACTTGACTGCTAACCAAAAGGCTGGTGGTTCAAACCCACCAGCCACTCCTCGGAAGGAAGGTTGGGCAATCTACTTCCGTAACTGCTTCGGAAACACAAGGAGGGGTCACTACGGTACATAACAAGAATCCCATTAAGATCTACCACCTCAGAAACCAAGTGGGGGTCGCTATGAGTTGGAATAAACTTGATGGCAGTGATTTTTTTTTTTTGGGGGGGGTACGGGCAAAGCATTGAACGATGTAGGAAACATCAAAAGAAGAAGGAAGGAATACACAGTCACTGTATAAAAGAGAATTGGTCATTATTTATAATAGCAAAAAGATGGAAAAAATCTAGGTGCCCATCAACTGAAGAATGGATAACCAAACTATGGTACATACACATAATGGAATACTATGCAACCCTAAAGAATAATACAGAATCTGCAAAACACCGCATACCATGGATGAACTTAGAGGACATTATACTGAGTGAAATAAATCAATCACAGAAGAACAAATATTGTATTAGTCTGCTACTGTAAAAAGTCAAGGAAAAGTTTATAAATGGGAGGAAATTTTCTTTGTGGGTTAGCAGAGTGGGAGGGGAGGGTATGGAACAATGTTAGATAGGTGGAGACAAGTATTAATTTGGGTGGAGAAAAGGGCAATGTACCAAATGTAAGTGATCAACATGGTGGCATTGAGGAAAAGGAAGACATAGAGAGGTACATGGGAGGTACAGACAACAAAGATGAACCCTTTTGCACACACAGTACTGCATTGTCAGTGAAGGCAAACACGGATATATGAGCAGATAGATGGGTGGACAGGCTGAACTATTAGGTATGTCTATGCAGGGGGCAGGGTGCCCAAGATCATGTATAGGGTTGGCAGAAAATGGTTCTACAAGTGTATTTGTATGTTCTGTAAGAATTCCCAGGCGTATAGTAGAGCTGACAAGCGACAAGGTTGTAGTCACTTCTTGGCCACAGCCAGCTACCCAGAGGGAGCGAGTAGTTGAACATGTGGGCTCTGGACCATGGTTGCAGGGGACATCAAGCTCAACTGGCATAACATACTACACAAAAACATTGTTTGACATCCTACTTTGGCGAGTAATGACTGGAATCTTAAAAGCTTGCAAGCAGCCATCTGGATGCAATGATGGGTCTCTCCTTGTCCAGAGCAAAGAAGAATGAAGAAAACTAAAGACACATGGAAACAATTAGTCCAAGTGATCTTCAGCCTATATGACCATGAGACCAGAAGAACTAGATGGTGTCTGGCTACCGCTGTCAACCACTTGGAGGGGGATCTGTGTAGAAGATCCTGCATAGAGTGGGAGAACAATGTGGAACAAAACTCAAAATCATAAAAAAAAAAAGTTTAGCTGGTCTGATAGAGCCTGGGAAACCCCTGAGACTACGGCCCCTAGCTGCCCTTCAGGTCCGGAATTGAACCCACACCTCTGGCTTCCAGCCAAACAAAAGACAGGCATATGAGCTGAACATTTACATTAGGTAGATACCCTCCTTGGAGAGATCAATCATGGGAGAACAGAGGGCTGTGTGTGCACAGGGAGACAGCTCGGGGGGCGGGCAGGAGTGCCTGGAGGGAAGGACACAGGGAAGAGGTGACTGGAGAGAAAGTGGGAGGGGAGCTGTTGCATTGTGGAAAATTGCAGTCAATGTCATGAGACAAAATGTGTATGAACTGCTGTATGGAAAATGAATTTTCTCTGTAAACTTTCACCCAAATCACAATAAAAATGGAAAAAAAAAAAAGAAAGAAAGAAATTGGTGGACATTTCAGGAGATGGCATATGATTAAGAACCAGTGGTGTTGAAGGAGGAGGTCCAAGCTGCACTGAAGGCATTGGTGAGAAAGAAAGCTCCAGGAATCGAGAGAACACCCACTGAGACGTTTCCACAAATGCACAGACGCCGGAGGCACTCACACATCTATGACAAGAAATGCCAGTGCCGGGTACCCAGACGAGTGGCTGGAAGAGAGAAATACTTGTGCCATTCCGAAGGAAGGTGGTCCCACAGGACACAGAAATTAGGAAACAGTATCATTCTCAGCATATGAAAGTAAAATCTTACTGAAAATAATTCAAAAATGGCTTCAGCAGTATATTGATAAGGAACTTCCAGAAGTGCAAGCTGGATTCAGAAGAGGACGTGGAATGAGGGATATCATTGCTGATGTCGGATGGATCTTGGCTCAAGCAAAGAATACCAGAAAGATGCTTCTACTAAGTATGCAAAGGCATTGGACTGTGTGGATCATAACAGATTATGGATAACATTGTGAAAAGTAGAAATTCCAGAACACTTCATTGTGCTCGTGAGGAACCTGTACATAGATCAGGACAAGGGGATACTTCAAGGCTTAAAATCAGGAAGGGAATGTGTCAAGGTTGTATCCTTTCACCATATATATTCACTCTGTGTGCTGAGCAAATAATCCGCGAAGCTGGACTATGTGAAGAAAACCACGGCATCAGGATTGGAGGAAGACTCGTTCACAACCTGCGATATGCAAACGACACAACCTTGCTGCTGGGAGTGAAGAATAATTGGAGCACTTACTGATGAAGATCAAAGACTACAGACCAGTGTGGGTCACACCTCAACATAAAGAAAACAAAAATCCTCACAGGTGGACCAGTAACAACATCATGAAAAATGGAGAAAAGACTGAAGTTGTCAAAGACTTCATTTTACTTGGATCCGCAACCAATGCTCTTGGAAGCGGCAGTCAAGAAATCAGATGACGCACTGCACTGGGTAAATCTGCTGCGAAAGTCCCCTTTAAAGGGTTAGTGAGCAAAGGACGTCTCTTTGAAGACTAAGCTACCTGACGCCAGCCATGGTATTTTCAGTCGCCTCCTATGCATGTGAAAGCTGGACAATGAGTAAAGAAGACTGAAGGAGAGTTGATGCCTTTAAATTCTGGTGTCCATGAAGAATACTGAAAAGACCATGGGCTGCCAGAGGAACGAACAAATCTGTCTGGGAAGAAGTATAACTGGGATGCTCCTTGGAAGGAAAAATTGCCAAACTTTGTCTCATATACTTTAACTCATGTTGTCAGAAGGATATCATGCTGGCTAAGGGAGAGAGTGAAAAGGGGGTGGACCCTCAACCAGGTAGATTGATCCAGTGGCTGCGATGACCTGACCAACTCAAGCGTATCCTCACGTTGGGAGGAAGGTGCAGGACCAGGCAGTGTTTCGTTTTGCTGTACGTGACATTGCTGTGAGTCGGAACTGACTCAATGGCACTTAACAACAACAACATTTTCATTAAAAAATAAAATGAAATTCTTTTTTTTATTATTGTGATTTGGGTGAAGATTTACAGAGCAAATTCACTTTCCATATAGCAGTTTACATATACTTTGTCTCATGACATTGACCACAGTTTACCACAATGCAACAGCTCCCTCCCACTTCCTCTCCATAGTTACCTCTTCCCAGTGT